GCTCGTACTGCGTATGGTATACACGTGTATGCACACAGCTCATACGGACAGATGGACAGGACTATATCAAGAATATATATACTTTATGAGGTCTGCGATGATTCCTTCTGCCTGTTACATAATTTTCACAAAGCCATTATACCCTGATTTCGCATTTTCAATGGGTTCAGGGTATAAAAATGTAAATACTAAAAATGTTGAAATAGAAACTCATTGCGAACTTTGACCAGCAATTCGAAATTTTTGAAATTATTTATTATAAAATAATAAGCATTCATGACAAGCCAATGAAAAACAAAGATGATGTCATGTCATCAATGTGATCATGTTAAATGATGGCATTAACAAAGCTAGGCAAGTTTTCGAGGACAGAGTTATTGGGTGCTTCGATGAAAATGAAAACAGTCATATAAGTACTTAATAGGAAGTCGCGTAGCGTAAGAGTCAGTGACTCAATACCAGAAATTTCTTGGTCTAGTGCATCCAAAGATTGTGCGAGTTACAAGTGCAAAAACTTCCACACATTGCAGCTACAGTCAAAGACATACTCAAAGCCATACCTAACTATCTTGTAATTTAGTGTCACTAAAAATTGTACTGTCACATACATAGAAACCAAATATATACATATATATATATGTGTATGTACATAATATATGTATATGTATATACTATGAATAACTTCTTTGCGTTAGGTTGCTGCAATGATTTTGAAAGCAAAATTGGGTATGACTTGCTTATAAATTTAGCAGTAAGTGTATTCATAGGTGTAATTTTGTACTCTACATTTGTTCTATTTTTATTTTTATTTATTTTTTTTTTTTAATTTGTTATATGTTTATCGAAATATCCCTTACCGACTCGGTATTCCTTTATATGTATGTATTGTACCTACAATAGTTTCGTTCATATGGATTGTTTGCCAGCAGCTTCCTCAGCTTGAAAATTTTGAAAACAAATTATTATCGAACTTGAAGAGTACATCTTAGTCGGTCCGCCCTGAATGGATCACTCTCACTTGGATGTAATAACTTGTCGTTGTGGTACACTGGTTTCCTCTTTAACTTAGTGCCTTTTAAGCGCGTCAACCAACTACAATCATACGAGCATATGCACAGGCATGCTTAACACATGCACAAACCGTATAATAGTAAGCACCTGTATGAAGGTTTATAAATTGGACAAATTGCGCGAATCGTTAAGTAACGCATGAAACGTATTTAATTTGGTTTCTTTGTGCTCATCTAAATATAAATAACGCGTGGATATATTAAAAGTTATTAGTTTGGAACTTCAAGTCGCAGAGTTGTGTTCAAACTTAGTAGCTAAGTCATCAAATAAGGACTCTTTAAAGAAATTCAAATGGATACCAAATACCAAGCATCCTTGAAGCTAACTTGCATATTTCTCGTACTAAGCGTTGCAGAAGCGATCCCGAAGCTAGATAACAAACCAAAGTAAGCTTTCAATGCAGACTACGCAAATATAAATAATAAATAGTGAAAACATTTACAGCTAATAACAGATAGCTCAAAGATATTCAATAATTAGAGTGTTCTTTTAGTGACGGAATTTAGTTATTTTTTTCTCCATCTATGGAGAGTAAACCCCAATAAATATTAAACAAAATTCTTGACAGTTTTATATTCGACCTCAAAATTTCAACTGAATGCATTTAGACTTCAAATGGAATAATTGTTTATAGAGTATACAAATAGAATATAATATTATCATGCTGCCGGAAATGAGCATCTCTTGAAATGTAATCTAATTACCAGTTCTTTTCTGTCTCTAGACCATACCTCGACAATACGCAATGGAGTCGAACGTACCCGAATGAAAATAGAACTCAGGTTAAAGAACCGGAGACTGCATCAACAAAAGATAGGCTGGAGCGCCTAGGTTACACCACTGGATATGGAAGCTTGAATGTATGTCTATCATATGTGTCATTCTAACTTTCATACACTTTATTGTATCATTTTATAGACTAGAAACCTAACGAATCTGTACTTAAGATTTATATATAATATGATTTGGTATAACGTTTGATATTTATCCTTCAAAATATAGGGATACCCAAGTAGCTCTGGACTTTCAGCATATAATCCAATCAAACTGGATCTTGGCGGAGTCGTGCTGGGAACACTTGTTGGCATCGGTGCAATAATTCTCATACCTAAAATACTATCCGCCTTTCACGGAGGTTACGGTGGCTATGGACGTAGTAAGTGAAAAATATTTATTTTAAGCATTCTACTCATCCAGAATATTCGCATTCTCTATATTCATGTAGGCGAGGACGACAATGACTTAGCATCTCTCAGTAGTATGATAAACAAAATTGACAATGTGCTTGGCCAAAACAATATCGACTCAACTAGCTGTATGCAACGCGCTGTCTGTGGCTATATTCGGTCGACAGAGAATAATATAAAGTCCGGAGTCTCCGATCAGATGGATGAATTCATTCACATGCTGTCCGGGTAAGCTAAAGAATGTTATAAATATTTGTTTATTAGTTTGCGTAACGAAAAAATGAAACATATATCTAAATATAAATTGTTTAAAATATTCGACCGGATTGATGATATAGCTATTTTTAACCTTACAGAAGGTAACATAGTTTTGTTTAGCAATGTTACATATTAGCATGTTACGTATTTAATGATAAGATTTTCTACATTCGACAGTGAATATGAAAATAATATTTATGAAAATGTATATATAAATTTATATATATCATTTATGTTGACTAAAAGTTCATAAAATTGGTTTTGAGAGAGAGACATATTTGAAATTGGGGAGCTTCTGCTTACTTAAACGCAATTGAATATTCTGTACAAGAATATCCGGTAGCTATTATAAATATAATATGAGCACTTTGGCTTTGCCTAACTTGATTCTAATTTTATTTGAAGGAACTCTCTTGTGGACTACCTTTTGGACGGTACTGCAATAAAGGAGGCATTAGAGCACGGAAAGGAAACAACCGATAGGAGCTGCGAAGAGCTTTACGTGTCGTGTCCATTAAATAGTAAATCGGCCACCAGTATTCTAATGAAACTCTTACCCAAGAAACAAAAACCTACTAAATTAAACTCAGCAGAAAATCAGGACGAATCTTAAATGCAAAAGTTGATAAATATAGCAACAGATTATATTATGAGAAAGTTATTACAACTAATCAATGGACTTTAAAGAACAAGCTTCATTTGTTACAAAATCGTATCCTAATTAAATAAAGAATATTATTTTTGAGATATTTTCATTATATCGTCGCATCGTATGGCGAAATATGTAACTTTACAGGAGAAGCATTTTTGAAAATTTGTTATTGATGTTCTTATTTTTTGCAAGAATGTGAGAGAGACGTTTTCTAACCGTTCTGCATTAAAATTTCAATTACGCCACGCCCCTAAAGAGGCGTAACAATATAATTTGGGGAATCGATAGAGGAGGCTACTGGTAACTTAACTATTCAATTTGAAGCTTCTAGCTCCTATACTTTAGGAGATATAAACTTTTGCGGATTGCCACGCCCCTATGGGAAGGCATTAATCCAAGAAAGCTTTTTGGTCTTGGGAGGTCAACCCGAGTATATATACTATCAATAGTGTCAAAAATATAGCAGAATTTGCAAAACCACTATATTTTCATACTTCGATTTGCCACGCCCCTGGTGGGACATATAATTTTTTCATCAATATTTATAGAATCATAACATTATAAATCGAAGACATACATATATGAGTATGTGTTCCAAAATCAAGTATCTTGCTTCAATAGGCCGTACTATTTCTAATTTACTATTTCTAATTTATTTACTAAATTAGTATATATAAATTTTCGTTACTTTGAGTTCAAAAGTAATTGTAGCTGCACTTCTTGCTTCTCAATTATGGGCAGCCAATAATCAGAAGGAAATTGGAATTCGCATGGATGAAACTTTCTTATCTCATCCAAAGTTTTATGCACCCGCTGATGTTGAATATTTTTATTATTTTGTATTAATTTTTGCAGTCCATCCAGTAAATTATTTGACTCTCGAATGAGATCATCAATGGACTGAAGCAGGAAATACCAATCGACCTTCTGCCTGCCGACCAGGTTGTTGCCTCTTAAATAAAATGGAACTGGCACGAAACTGCGCCATGGCTTAAGAGCTTCAATAGTATATGGAATAAAATGCTGCGTGACATTCATTTCAAGAGCGTCATCATCAAAATGCCACGAGGCTAAGGTAGAGTCGCGGAGCATATTGTTAATATGATGCGGTTGGTTTCGATAAGACTCATTGCTGTCATCGTTGTCATTATTCATAAATTCGAATAGACACGGATTACTGACGCTTCTCTGGAATGCTTTGGGCAAAAGTGTTTGTGTTGAGACATTTGCTTTCTCAATGCAGTCGGTCATCTGGGACACAGAATATGTTAGAACATCTGCAACACAAAAAACCTTTTAATGCTACGTAAAGTACATTGGTAAGATTACATTACATTGCTGATACCCATCCTTTTTAATCGAATATTGGCCATCCGTTAATATACCAATATCTCTCAGTAAAATCAAATCATCTTGCGCACTTGTTGTGGCTTCCTTCATCAACTTGACGGGAATGAAATCCGTTTGGACAGACACATTTGATTTACCAGCTCTTAAACGCCTACATGTCCAGTTTGCACAAAATCAAAATCAAGTTTAATAAAAACTTTTAAGAACTGCCTTTCATACGAACCTGGACGCATCGAGTAATTTAGCACGAAGCAACGCATTCTTATCCGGTTTTGGAAGAGTTGATACGCTTACGGCACGCCAAGGAGGTCGCTTGGCTTCATTTTCTTTTTCTTTCTCTGAGGCAAGGTCTTTCATTCGTTTCCAGCTAATTTTCGCTCTAAATGAGCAAATTTTAAAATTTTTATAAAAATGCAAGTACATATAAAAGTAGACAAAGCTGGCTCGTGCCTTTATAGAGAGTAATATTCTTTTATTGTTGCTTTTTCTTGCTCTTAATCTCTTAATATAATAACAATCTTTTAACACTTTAACTAATCTCTTCTAGCAGGGTTTTTTAAAAATGTATGTATGTAACAGACAGAAGGAGGCGTGGCTGACCCTACAAAATATATATATTCTTGATCAGGGCGACGAGCTGAGTCGATTTGGCCCTGTC